AAAGGTAGAACATTAAATGTAACACAATCTAGAGGATAGAGATCTCTTTCACTAAATATCTTGATCACTATCTTCCCCCTATAAATATCCCTCACCCATCTCTGGACAAAGAAAATAAATATTCTCATTATGAAAACTCTACATCCATTCTCCCTAGTTCAAACCCGTTTCTAACTTAATTCAGAGAGGGCTCAACTGGGATCAATCCCAGTTCGCTCTTATTCTGATATTGTTCTAAGTGTACAGATCCTCTCCAGGAAATAGCCCTAGCACGAGGTCAGAAATACTAATTACATACATGAGAAGGATATGCGGTTTACAAAACCCATCTCGAAATATACATATTTGTAGAAGTAGTTGTTTCAAATTTGAAGTTGAGAAATGGTTTGAAACCGTTTGTTTTCTAGATTGGCAAAAACATGTTTAATAGTTTATGTTAGCAATTGGCTTATTTAGTCGGACCAAGTTTGAAAAACTCTATGCTAAAGCGTCAGTCGGAAGTTTGGAAATACATTACACTACAAAATATTTGCATATTATTTGCTCTTATGCTTCTGAATATATTTTTGTTTTGTTTTATGATTTATGTTTTTGAGGTGAGAGTGCCACTCGTACAACCGCCTGTCACATCCCCCCATGCACGCATATGCCGCACAAAATGTCAAAAGCTAGTTAATATCTCTGAGCTGGAAGGTGAACAAGTGTTTGTTCTTAAATTTATAACAAATAAAGTTAAGCCCTAACCACAGACCGATTGAACCCAAAGCATCATGAGCTCGTACATTAGGGACATCCATGGAGATTTTCTCAAGTGCACATCCATCCCATCTGTGGCGAACTCTGCTATCGATGCTGAGGCACTGGTCTCCCCATGATGTTTCAATTTAACGACTTTACTAATAAACACTGTTTTCACTAGTCTCCCCATGATCATCAACCCACTCCCTCTCTTTCTCTCGTCCTCCATATTTTCTTTCTCTCATAAATCTAACGCCAGTCTCCCATCAAAATTCCATATTAGAAACTCATACTTTTTTTCTGTTTAGTCCTTTGAAAAAGAAAACGTCACAGGCAGTATTTTATAAACTCAATTTTACACGTAGTTTGATTCAAAATGAAAACGAGGATGTCCTAATATGCTATACATGTGACGTGTCGGTATAGTAGATCTTTGGACGGTTGGATGTGAGAGTGTTTCAATAAATCAAAGGCTGTAGTCTGTAGAGGAGGTTTCGCGGGAGGTCATACTCATATACAGCCGTAATATTTGACCATCATAGTCATATTGGGTGAATTAGCATGCGAATACACAGCAATTTGTTTGTCCATTTCCTACTGTTCACTATGAATTCAAAAATGACATCCCCTAGGCCTGTCCTCACCAAAGAAAAAGAAACTTGCCAATCTCCTTTTGTTAATGCCTTTCTTTTAAAATTATTTTTGTTCTTGTGCGCATTTGCTCTCTATCGTCTTGGAACAAGCCCGTGGCAACAACACAACAAGACCCATTCTGAGCAGAATTTGGGGGCAAAGCACAAAAACGAGGAATGCATAAATCCGACTTAAAATATCATATATATGAGTCAAATTTAAATTATAAAAATCAAAATAACAAGCCACTGAAGTCTTGGTGGTGCTGCGCATATGGAACTTATTACATACAGAGCACACACCAAGACAATATTTGAAGCTAAGTCAGAGTTGCAGCTTGTTGTTTCAAGCGTCGCATGCTTATGTAACTTACTTAGGGCAACCCAGTTTGCTCCTCGGGTCTCACTGTGAAGCGGGCAACATATTCTTTCAGTTTTTCAAAGGCCTGAACAATTCTTGCAACTGCACTTTTATACAATGTTTCCAAGTATAGGCACGCGTACTCACCTATGAAGCTCACAAACCAAACGATCCAAAAGAAGAGGGCGGCTAACCCTAAATTCGGGACAAGGATCACCAATTCCAAAACCATGGAAACAGATCCAAAAAGGAGGCTAATCTTACTCATGAATTTTTCCAAATCCAAATTAAGGTGAGCTTGGTGTATATATGTAGCGCCAATTAATGACCCGCTGTAAATGACTAGAGCAACAATGAGGATCACAACAGTCGGGTAGTCTGTGTTAAATAGAGATGTTGCTCCAGCTCCCTGCTTCAGTTGGAGGAGCACACCTAGCATGGTGATGAGAGAAAATATATATTTGTGCAATGTCTTTGTAGAACGTTCTTTGCTTATGCTATTATTATTAAAGAAAACATGGAAATTGCATTGAAATAAGTATGATTATGCATATATATATATATATATAGAGGCGGAGCCACAGTTTAAAATAATGAATATAAAAGGTCCTAAAACAATTAAAAATACTGATATCTCTTTTTAAAATGTATTTAAATGAAAAAAATCAATCTAACAGATTAAAACAAAAAATTTAAAAAAAAATTCCCAATCATCCCTTCCCTAATTCCCAAGCGAGAGCGACCAACCCGCTACACTCCAAGTTCCAACACCTGTCTCTTTCTGTCTCTCTTCCCCAGCTACACTCCACCCCAATCCACCTCCCTCCCAGGGACCCCCCGGCGACTCTCCCCCCCAACTAACACCCTAGATCTCACATCTCTCGCCGACTGGAGGATCTACCTTCCACCTCCCAGGCCTCCTCGTCGATTTCCCCGACCGTCCCCTTGCGAGATCCTAACTCCCCAGACCCAATATCCCACATGCTGCCCTCCAGATATTTTCTGCGGCTTTAGTTTTTGGTAATTTAGCTTGGGGGAAGAAAAATAGGTTAGGTTTTAAAGATTCAAATGACAGGCTTGCCCTCTGGAAAGGTCAAATTAAGAATTTATTTTGGCAGTAATCTTAGAAGTTGAAAGCTCCTCAGTTTTTCTTAATTTTTATACGATTGAAAGCTCCTCAGTGAGTCTACTGGTCAACATGACTCAAGTTCAAAAAGGGGGACATAGTGATTGTATTGTGAAGATCTATAAATGTATCTAAATCCAAAACAAAAACAGTGTTTCATTCAATTAAATGCCGAGAAGCAAAATGCCGTCGGAAATAATGTTTTCCAACCACCACTGGGTCGGAAATAATGTATTTTCGACACCATGTTTTGTCTATATTGATATTGCTTAAATCTCCGTTGGAAATTAATTTAAGCAAAATCATTTTCTCAACTACGCTGCAAACAAATTAAATGAATATGACAGGCAAAGAAGTATATGTATGTATGAAACTTACGCCTCTGAACGTGGAGGATCGCTAACAGTAACAGTAGCAGGAATGCTTTCTTGATCACTCATCCCGCACCCCTTGGCCTTGCTTTAGAGAAACAAAGAAAAAAAAAAGTCAAGAAACAGAGTTCAGGAAGCTCAGAACATCAGAGGGTCTTAGAACAGCCACTGCACATTCGTTTCTCATAAGAAAAGAGAGAGTGTGCACTTACTCTTCTCGACGTCTCACGGTTGTATATCATATAGATATTTCGACCCAAAAAAAAAAATCATATAGATATAGAATGCCCCTACCTTCCTAGCTACGTACGGATATATCATATATGGCTATGCCTGTGGCAGTGATGCGCGGTTGGCAGATATGTATTGTCGGAGTGAGGGAACTGCAGAGAAGAACCGCAGAGCATCAGCTTTTGCATAGTTTTCGAGGGGGGACAGAACTGATCCCAAAACAGGACAGCATCAACCATCAGCTTTTTGTAGATTTTTTTTTCCGGGAGGGCGGCGGGAGGGGGCCAAAACAAAAATAAAATTACATAGAAAAGCCCCTAGGGCAGCCCTGAACTAATCCCACCAGTGGGGAACCGAGTGAATCTAGACAATGCTATAGCATCCGCCAAAAAGAAACTTGACCACACACAAGGACAAATATGAAGAGAGAACCTGTATCACCTTATTATCCACCTCGTAGATAGCAGATCACTTATTCTACAGTCGGTTAGAGTCAGTTAGTTTAGAAAGAAAACTGGTTTAGTTAAAATGTTTGCTAAGCTTGTCCAGGTGGCACTGATTAGTTGCCCAAACCAACCACCCTTGTATAAACACATTCTCTGTAATTATCTTTACACAATTAATTAGTTAACTACTTTCTGCTGCTGCTGATAATTTTTCTCGGCTGCAAACACTGAGCTGAGGGATTAATACTAAAAGGAGAATTACGAGTTTTCAAGTACCAGAGCAAACCGGAGTAAACTCAAAAAGCAGGGGCAAATATTTTGATTTTGGGGCCGTGTGAGTGCTTTTGTACTGTTCTAGATCCACTGGACCCAAGAAGCAGTACATGCAGTAGTAGGGTTAATAGGGTCTCATTATCCTCTCTTAACTGAAGGGCATTCTACCCATCAGCCAATGAATATGCAAGACACTCCCCCACAAGACACGGCAGTCTGTAGCCATTCAAGTGTGATTGCTTTATTATCTCAATCAATCCCTATAATTTTGGAACTGCCTATTTTACGTTTTACCGTTTGTACAAAGTCAACTGTATAGCATATAAAAGAAATCTAATACAACCAGAATACTTATCGTGGGGGTATTCTTCCTATTCTACTTCTTATTCTTCTCTAACCTCTAGCCATTCTTCTACATTAACACGTTATAGCCGCATAAAAATATAAAGCCTATTTTTTGTTTACTTCTTTTGTCTGTTTTCGATCTGCCTGCTTTTTCAGTCGCCGCCAGGCACTCTCTCTCTCTCTCCGTATCATCGACTTCATGAAACAGCAGTTCATTGCGGTTTCAGTCTTGGACCTCATCAACTTCCGGCAGGTTGCTTGAGTTGCTTGTTTGTTCTGAAATAAACCAAACAATTTGTAAGCTTTTATACTCTTGTGCTTTATTAGCAGTAAAGTAAACAATGGAGGAAAGATGCTCAACTAGTTGTCTTGGTGATATTCTTTATTTAGTTAAACCAATTATGAAATAAGCTTAGAGCGTTTCTTCTGTAATAATGAATCTTGGAGACAGAAGACATTTCAGAAATAAAAAAGAAGTTAGATAACTAGTTCCTTACCAGCCTTGAGAGCATTTGTTGACCACTCTTTTTGGTGCCTTTCGTTCTTTAAATGCAGATTACTAACTCTTCCATCCTTCCCCATTTGTGGGTTTTCAGGGAATTCCTTTGCAAAAGGCCAGACACCTTTGTAGGCATTTGCAGATAAAACCTGCCTTTCTATCTCCTCTTTGGAGCTGAAGTCATTGCCAAACTTAAAGACAGAAGTTGAAGCGGACACTCTGTCTATCTGAATAGGTTCATTCAGATCAGTCAAACCACCGCTTCTTTCTATATGCAAAACATTGTTATAGCCGGATGTTTCACCAATGTGATTAGATAAAATATCATCTCTTGCCGGAGTAACCTCATTTTTTCTGTTAGGAGGATAATTTTCTGTACCTGACCCCATGAAAACCCCTTCTGGTTCCTCTCCATCACTGATGTATTCATTGGCTGGAAGTTCAAGATTGAACAATCTTCTCCGAGGCTTCTTCCCTCTGGAATCCATAGATTCGTGGTCCTTCATCCTGACTCTACTTTCGCTGGGGCCACCACTGGTTTGCAGGGTTTTTCCAATAGAATTACAAGGAGATTGGCTGATACCAGTACTCGATGTACATGGTCTACCAAAGCTGGAATCAACCAAGGGTAAATTAGAATTATGCCTACTGTTTCTGTCATCTTCATTTGGAAAGCCAGAGGAAGAGAAAGTTGATAGTGATGTCCCTGCTACTTTTTGATGTTTGAGTAGTTCTTTGCTTTTGATCTCGTTCATCAAGTACTTTTGCCTTTCGTAAAGACGACGGAGTTCATTGAGCTGAATGAGAAAACACACATAAAGGTGTTCAAATATTAGCTAACGATTTTGAGTACTCAAAGTTTGACACTTTTTTACCAATATAAAACCATTGTTGTCTGACATTTCTTAACTCTGTAATAAAAGCTATAGTCATAATCACACTTTAGAGCTCAACAGATTTAGGTTCTAGATATACACCTGATGCCTGAATACTGACTCATGCTTCAGTATAGTTTGCCTCATTTGTTCCTTATCGCGTCCATGAAATCCATCCATAATCGGCCTTGTCAAGAATAATTCATATTGTTGCCCATTCTTCAAGTTTTTGTTCTCATGGAGTAGGGACCAGCTACCATGGCCAACAACATTGCTACTTAGTTTCTGTACGGAATAATATCCTGGTAGATACATCTTTGACTGTACTTCAGTTCCCATTCCTGCAATTAACTCAGACGCATTGCCAAATCAGTTTATACATAGAAAGAAGTAATAGTTGAACAAAAAAAAGAGTAATAAATTTCAAAGGAGTATCAGAGTAGACAGATTGCACACTGAAACTTGAGGCAACTCACTAGCTAATTCCGACAAGATTTCAAAGCAATATAAATTTTTCTAGAAGACATCAATAATAGCTCAGCCATATGCGATACCAGAGAACTAATCAACTGAGAAAGCATAAATCTTTGTCAGCTGTTTTTAAGACATAATTTTGGAAATTGCAATTCATTTGTAGTGATATCATTAATCATAGTTCCACGTTAGCACATCTTGAACCCAACATCCCTTGCCTGTCCATCTAAGTTTCTTGAAAGGAAAGAATTTATCATCTTAAGCTACATGCAGCTCAAAGTTACCATTTTAAAATTCAAAATATGATGGTACATCTTATGGATAAAGAATAAATACACACGTTTAACTAGTCCATCAAATCATGCAGTCCAAAATCTGAGCCTAGATGGAAAAATAGCAGAAGCAGAGATACAGTCAGTTCACTGAAGCAATTCATGAAAGAAATAGATTTACAGAAAACTAAATTATTACTTAATCTGCTGAAAAAACTTAATCGGGAGTCAAAACAAAAACCAAAGTGAAACATGATTAACTAAAGAACTTTCCTTTTCTTTGTTGTCGAACTAAAAAAGTTCACTTGTTTCAGACATGGAAAAAAATTACCGCACTAGAACTTTTCAGTTCAAAGAAGGCACATTTTTCCCTCACGAAGTCCTACATCTTATTAACTAAAAATCTAAATCAAATCAACTATCTAAAGTTGCACTGGGTAAGACTATGGGTTGTTGATTGAAGAAATTTGGCTGCCACTGTAGTCGCTAAAGCTTTCTTGATTGAAGAAATGAACACATCCACAATTTATTCTCAGGATATAAACATGAAAGACTGAAAAAAGAGTGGATAAAACCAATTTCCCAAATCAGACGTTAATTACTGGCTGAAGATTAAATCAACACTACAAAGTAGTAAGCAAGAAAATAAATAGACCAGAGAGAAATAAACAACACCATTGAGGGAACTCCGGAGAAGAATCGCAGAGCATCAGCTTTTGCAGATGTTTATTTTTCATTTTTAAGGGTCAAGGACAAATATGATGCGCCTCGTAGATAGCAGATCACTTATTCTACAGTCTGTTAGAGTCGGTTAGTTTAGTTAGAAAACTGGTTTAGTTAAAATGTTTGCTAAGCTTGTCCAGGTGGCATTGATTAGTTGCCAAAACCACTCTTGTATAAACACGTTCTCTGTAATTTGTAAATATCTTTACACAATTAACTAGTGAACTACTTTCTGCTTCTGAGAATTTTTCTCAGCTCCCAAACACTGAGCTGAGGGATTAATAATAGAAGGAAAATATATATTTTGATTTTGGGGCCGTGTGGGTGCTTTTGTACTGTTCTAGATCCACTGGACCCAAGAAGCCGTAGGTGCAGCAGTAGGAGGAGCCCATTCTGGTTTGGTCCTGGACTAATGTAGCCCATTCTGGTTTGGGCCCTGGACTCTTCCGTCAAGAGGAGGCCCTTCAATCTCAGGATCAGCTCCTTGCATTTGTGTGCACTTCTTTTTTGTCTGTTTTCGATCTGCCTGTTTTTTGGGTCGCCTCCAGGCGCACACTCTCTCTCTCTTCTCGTGGCAAAATTTATTTATACGTGGCAATTAAGTAGAAGAAAGGCAATTGATAAAGGGAATGAAATTGTAATTTATTATCTTTACCCACACAAAAAAATTGTAATTTATTATAAATAATAAGTAGAATAATCATATACAGTTACTTCACTTCATTTGAGCTACAAATACAATACAACAGAATCGAATCAAACAAGTATGACTTAACAAGTATTCGACCAAAAAA